GACCAACCTGCCATATTTAAGACGGGAGCCAGGAAAGTTTCATTCTGTAGACGAGAATCAAGTAAAGATTGAAATAGCGCGTGACACTGTTGCAAGTGAGCTGAAAATAATAATAGTAATAATCCCATAAGAAATGTGATTATCCGCCCACTCAAAAAAATTCTGTAAAAATCTTGAAGGAAAAAATTTTTCATATGTTTTCTTTTGAATCCGCTATATCTCTCTTTGATTTGTAAACAATTTCATATGTTTTCTTTTGAATTCGCTATACCTCTCTTTGATTTGTAAACAAATTTGCCATATGTGTAGACATTGGCCAACGTTGAGAATTTCAAAACAACAATTTATTTTAAATATTTAAATCCAATATTTTTCAGTCAATGCAAGCTTCTTAACATTAAATATAAAGATGCAGGCGAAATTATTAGTAACAAGGAGATTGAACTAAACATAGCAAAAAATTTGCAAAAATTACGTTTGACTCAATTCGTGGCGTAATTAATTCATAAAGTCTTCACCAGTTTTACAAAAGTACATAATTTCTACATTGAATTGAATTGGGCGAAATGCGTCCCCACTGACGCTGCTTCATCCTTTCCAATTGTCGGTTTTGTCGGTCAAGTCAACTGTGTCTAAACGTTTTTGTGCGAAGGGGAAGAAGAGGGAAAATGGCTGCCATATGAATTGACCGAAGATGCCATTTCGAACCAAGTCAGCATCACAGTTTAATTACTTGACAAGCAAAAAAAGTTCCGTATTGCGACTGGTAATCAAAAGTTCATCTACTACGGCGATCCTACGGCAGCCATCCACATCTACATCGAATCTAAATATTCATACCCACAAAGTTTTCCTGTGCCTGCCACGAGATCAGCAAGGTGTAATGTATTGCCAGGTGCTAAGACGGACTGAAGCTGAGACTGTAGATATCTGCTGACGTCAATTGAACAAACTGAACGAGGTATTGTTGCAAAAACCACCTGCAATAGCGCGAAATGATAACGCTCGGCTACACGTTTCAAGAGTTGTCAAGGATACACTTTTCACTTCGAATGGGAAATTTTGAGGTACCCAGTGGGTTCATCAAACATGGCGCCTTCTCACTAGCAGATTCAGGGATTCTCAACAAATTCAGGCTGGCACGCGGTTCCGAAATGCTGAAGAAATGCGAAAACGGGTCGATGATTGGATCGCTGCAACCCAATATCGTTTTTATGGGAAGCTATCTCCATGTTCCCGGTAAGATGGGAAAGAGTTGTGGGAAATGGTGGAAAATATTTTTATTAATATACATTTTACAAACTTATCTCAACAAATGCCTTTTTTAAGTAAGAAATGATCAAAACACATGCAAGCACGGAATATATAGATAATTCCCCTGCTATTTTCGTTTATCAAATTCGCTCCCACATTGCATTAAGAATAAACAACGTTTCCTTGCCTCTTCTTCTCATTTATAAAATATTGGCTCCCAAAGCCAGTCACAAAAAGAAATAATGTTTAACTTTACAATTTATGCAATTACAGTACCTTACTTGAAAGAAATAGTTCCAAATAAAAATCTGCCAATTACACAAACTTCGTTTGAATTAACTATAGAAAATAGCCCAAGAATTGTTAACAGTAAAAGGCTGTATACACTTCCAGGCTTTTGCTGCCGCTGTTACAAATAACAATGTTAGCTTTGTTAAACAGCACTCATGTGATTACTTGCTCTTTCAAGCTCGTTATCTTTGTAGGTAAAACTTCTCTTAAATCTTTCCTGCTATGACGTCACACTATAAAAAGCCAGGTACATACAATCGTGTATTTTTAAGAGCGTAAGCGCTAAGGTATTAACATACATTGTATTTGCGAAAGATGCGAAAGCACTTCATTATTTTGTAATAGTTGTATCATCCAGGAAAAATCTTCTAGAGGATATTTTTTGTGTGTATTTGGAGGTAATTCCTAATTTTCTCGTAAATTAGGATAACTTCGAAAAATTTTCACAATCTTCGTTAGGAAATAACGTGTTTAACTAAGTCAGTGCACGAGGTAAAGTATTTTATAAAAAGATCATTGTCGGTGGAGATTCTTCGTTCAAACTTCGACAAGATGAACTCGAGCTCTGCATGGCACGCCAATCCTTTTCCGGATGTGACTGTCGATTTGACTATCGATTAACGAACAGAAAGTGATGCGTGAAGAAGCGTTTCGCGGTGTTAACGACAATGCTTGCGTCCAGAAAAACGATCTTAGTATAATAACACAAACGGAAAACGGACATAGAGATGTTCTCCACGGCATACCTATGACGCAAATATTTTGAAAACAACGCTGTGATATGGGTTGTAGCGTATAAATGGTATATCAGCAGAAACTTAGAGAGTACTGGTATCAATATGGAATTGTGTAGCGGAATGTTATAGAAACAAACACAATTTAGATTTTATGAAACTTATTTGTAAGAGATTAGTTGTAAAATAAATCTAATTTGCAAAGCAAATTGCAGCGAGCACATATTGAAGTTTATGTTAAGTGCTTTATATAAAGCCAAATAAATCTTGACCCGACAGCATTGCATGTAGAGTATACTAATCCGAAAAATGAACCATTAAGGACGTGGCATTCGTCTTGGGTCCAATCTTGTATACTCAGAGCCATTCATTTTATCATGCTGTAATCGTCTATCTCCATTTTTAAGGTTAAAATTTTACACAACGTACGAGGCTCTTTTGTCTGAAACCTAACAGTAATGAGCAAAAAAGAAGAAATGGAATACTAAACCAACTAAGTTTTGGTGTTTTGTAATAATGAGTATGCGTGTTCAATGTTTCCCAATTATCTTCATGTGTTGAAGGCACAGAATAATTTTCAAGATTCTCTGTCGTAATAAGTAGAAAATTAAAAAAAGTAAGAAGTTGAACTATGTGAGGAAGCGGCCAATTTTTTTATTTTCGGACGTGGAATATAAAGTGCTCCTTTAAAAAAATTTAAAAAAGTTTCAGTTTTAATAACTAATGAGTAACAACCCACAAACTTTTCTTAGAGAGGCAATCGCGCCAAACTATGCGCAGAGACTTCCATGGCACCTGCGAAATTTGAATATTTTATTATGAGTTTTATGGGCATTTATATTGTAATTGTTTTGAGCACTGTATTGTATTTATACAAAAAAAAATATGAGTTTTGTATTTTGGGAAGTCACCGAGGTGCAATTAGCTTCCGTGCATTGAAATGTGTGCTATGAAATGTATTAAATATATATAGCAAGCAAAGATATATTACTTCTCCAATATAACTTTTTTAACTGCAAAAATTTTCACTGATACTTATCGAAATATTTGGTGACGATAACACTTGGAAACCTGCAATGTGAGCCGATACAAACGATAAAAGGAAGAAGAAGTGCATTTGCGAGCTCATTTCCGAGTTGCTTTGCCTATACAATTATGTACAGCGCATGTGCGCTGGAAAACGGAGGGACTGATTTATGGCTGACGATATCGAGTGGACACTCGACTCAGCCACCTTTTTGGGCAGTGTTTTTTTGTGAACTTGTATGCGCCGACTGTTGTGGTTGTACGTGTAGTGTCGTGGGGGTGAATAACACTATAAATGCAAATAAACAAAAACGGGATGCGAATATATAATCAGCAAAGCAATAATCCAAATAATTTATGTTTAATTTATGTACGCGTAGCCTAAAGTCAATAAGTGCAATTAAAAGTTTAAGTTAACTATTAGAAAAATACAAATCATATCACGATAGTAAGTTTGCATAATGTTCTCATTCCATATGGTCGTCCTTATATATGAAATAAAACCTTCAGAGCTCCAAATTGAACAATAATATAAGAGAAAATGAAGGATCCTTATCCATCGCTATTCTCTTCATTTTACAACTGTGTTGCACTTTATTATATTTAGGATATAAAGGGAGTCCCATTGTGTTTTTTTACTCGACAAAGTAGACGTTTGTTAAACCTAGTTCACTGTTCAAACACAAAATTTTTTTTTACTATTTTGTATTACTAGGGAATACATATTAAATTATAAAAGAAAAAAACAAGCAAAACATTATTGGAGCAGATAGTGCAGTGCAACTTCATAAACATAGCGTCATTAATATTGGGTTTTTTTCATATCAGGAAGGACGCCAACAAAAAAAATAATATATTATTAAAAATTAATATTTGAAGAGGTATCTTTTTCGCTTAATAACGTCATTTAATCGTTTTGACACATTTTGCATAATTTTTTTTGTGTGGGCAACAGGGATCTTACTCCATTCCTCCTATAATCTGTTTTTCAGATCTTGGACGGAAGGCATTAAGTATTTTCGCACATGGTTTAATAAGCGTCTGCTTTTTGTCGTTTACTTGTCGAGCACAATATTAATGAGACTCACTGTATGTGTTTTCTAAATTTATTTCTGATAACATTATTATTTTATGATATCAGAAACATTGTAGTTAATGGCTATTCTCACCATTTTGGAAATTCTGAATAATATTTTGCTCTATTTCCTTTTTGGACATGCGTTTCGGCCCAAATTCATCGTCGAATGAAGTTTCATACTGACAGAAATTGTATACATTGATTGTCGATATCTACAAATACGCTAGTCGGCGCGTCGAGTTCATTCGCCATCGACGGCTATAAACTGAACCCACATTTGTTATATTTTATTGTTATTGGAAATAGAAACATTAAACATAATTTTTCAACAATTCTTAAATGTTCTTTTTATCTCTGCTTATGTACCAATTTTTAAATAAGCGTAAACACAAATATTCCAATAAAGATCTACTTATGGCAAATGTGTTCGATTTTGCACAAAGAAACATTATTTTAAGAAAGCTTTGTCGATTCATTTAGGTTGTTCATCCATTATCTCCAGTGGTATACTCATTCAAAATATTTTAGGTACTTTCTTTATAAGAAAAGGAAGAACACAGCAAATGCACAGCAAATTTCATACCTATAATATATCTATGATTAGTTTGAACGCTTACCATCAGGAGGTAAAGAATCTTGGCATAGACCGCAACCTGGTGTAACCTAAAATAAACGAAGTTAATAGAAATTTAACGAATTAATAAAAATAAAGGAATTCGTCATACAAAAATATTAATAGCGAATTATTGATTAAAAATATTGCGATGTGGAATTAACGCAGCATTAAATGATGTAATTAGCGTGATTGCTTTTATATGTAAAGCAAAAACTTGTTATAATTTACACAGCTCTGAGCGTTTAAATTTTCTATAAATATATATAGAATTGATTAAACTGAAGCAAGTATATAGAGAATTGACTAAAATTTTCATAGATTTGCTTTCATAGCGAGAAAATTTTTACGGACCTTTTATGTTTCTCATGATGTATGTTATCAATAACAGTAGTAACTGTCAAACCGCAGCCATTTGACTGACGTTTTAAGAAAAAGTGCACGTCCTTAAGAACGGGTTCCACAAAGATCTGTCATAACGAAAAACACCTCCACTATGTACCAATTGTTGGTTTTGGTTTCGAAGGTTAGCGTGCTTCTCTCCCTGGGTGTTGGGATCTGTCTGCTGGTCACCATGTTGGGCAAGTCGCACAAGCTGCACGTGCAAGTGTGGCCATCCCCTTTATATTCTCGACAACTTCAAACTCTGGACCTGTGAATCCTATCATTCGTAGCAGGAAACGTTTGCTTGACAGCAGTATCGCGTCCACACTGGCGTCTGATACGTCTGAGAATAATATGAACAGTTGTATGATTACAAGAGTCCCATCCGTCAATTTGAAGCGTGTAAGTGTATTCAAATTGGCTTCATCTCAACTTAGAGCAATTTCGTCTTTTAAAGTGTTTGTTCCGACTGAAAATTTGGCTAAACAAACTGTTGTCGCCAGTCAAATCCTTAATTGAGGAGTTGATCCATCAGGCTCGTCCCCGTAGTACTAATTCGTTAGCTCTTTCACTCTCAAAAAACTAAATGATTCTTCAAGCCCAGTAACTTTCACTTGGCCTAAACTCAACTACTCCCTCTGCTTTCCTAAATTCAATGAGCACAGAGTTTTCCTGTTTGGCTTTCACCGAGACTTGATCGAAGCCTCATTGACATTCGTCGCGACTTTTTCACAATTCTTTTCAGGTTTGCAAAAATAGCCGATTTGATCGCACTGGTGGTTCAATTTGGCACAAGTCACTGGGCGTTATAGAGATAACTCTGGCTATATGATCCCCACTTTAACATCTGATAGAACTATTGTGTTTTTCTAATTGTAATGGCAGACTGGTAGATCTTTGCTTTGCCAACTTAGTGGAGATAGTTGTAAATTGCAATCTACCTCTTAGTTTACCTGAGGAACCGTGTCATCCAGGCAATGTGCCAAATCCAATTTCCTCCAATAAACGTTAAGATTTTAATGAAACTAATATTTTATTGCCTAAATCTTATCTTTCATACATTATGCTTGATTTCTGTGAAGGAAATATTGCAACCTCACTGTCTTCTTACTGTAAGATATTAAACCTAGCTATTTCTGAGTCTATTCCAATCAAACAATCTCGTGTTTTAGCTTAATTTTTTTTAACGAATTGTCACTTAGCATTTAGCTTTTGCAGTCAAACATTATATTTTTCCATTTCAGCATGGCTTTCGGAAAGGAAGATTTACTGCCACGAATCTCTTAGAGTTTACTTGTTATATTTTCAAGGCTTTTTCTACTGGCTCTCGCACGGATGTCGTATATTCTGATTTTAGTAAAGCGTTTGACTTAGTTAACCATAAATTATTGGTCTTCAGAGTCTATGCCGCTGTCTTCACTCTTCACTTAACCTCTATTTAACTTCATAATCTTGGATGAATTTTCAATAACTTCTCCTTCTCAAGGCAGCCACTTATGAACTTTTATTTATTCTGCACTTTGATGATCTCCCTTTGGTGATTAAATGCGTTGACGATGTTCAACAGTGTTCGTCCTTCTTCCTGGAACCATTATCACACCAGCTTCAAATTGCATTGTTTAATTTTATGAAATCAAATTTTAAAAAATGCAAGAAACTTCCTCTATCATTCAATACTGAATATTTCATCGATTCATACAACTTGGAAAACGTACATTCTTCCATTGATTTAGGGATTCTATTCGACCAAAGATTATCTTTTAATTTTGACCGCGCTTGATTTCATTAAGTGTTATGTAGATTCAATTGAATCAGTTCAAAAGCAAAATCCTGCTGTTTGCCATTAGGAATTTCATTTGGAACCGGCGTGACTCTTTGCTTCCTTATGGAAATAGGTAGATTTATTGTTGGTGTTTCCTGCTTAATTAAGTTAATTAATGACACCATTGATTCGCCCGCAGTATTTTGTGAGATAAACTTTAATGTCCCTAACCGTTTCTTTAGGCACTTTATTTTCATTATACTAAGCCAATGTAAACATAATTAGGAGCTGTTTACGTTTAATAGCTATCGCTTAATATCATTATCGGATTCTCTAAAGTCTATCAAAAAAGCCTTGCTTAATACGCGCAATTTGTCTATGTCGTATTTAAAGTGACTTGCAACCGTAACACCTCATTACGATTCGAAAATTCACTGCTATGTTACTGTTATCGATTGCGAAGCTTTTGCATGTTTGCAATGGTTTAGGAGTTCGTTTACTTCTGTACCGGTTGTGGGTGTGCTAGCTGCGTGCATGCTTATTTTTTTCTCTTTTCTTTATACATTTTTTTATTTTTACATGCATGGTCATTTAATTGTCTGTAGTTATTTTTTTCCTTTTCCTTACATCTCCTTATATACCTTATATTACTTTGAATTTGATTGTTAATTTATTGAAATTTATTTGTAAGTAAATAATTTTCTTCTTCCAAAAAAAAGAGGCGACATGAATTGACTGAAAATGCTATTTTTTCCTCTCGTTGTAAGAGTTGTCCACGATACGCTGTTGCAGCTCGAATGGGAAGTTCTGACACACCCAGCGCACTTACCAGATGTGTTACCCGCTGATTTGCACATTTTCAGATTGGTGCAGTAGGGCTTGGCTGGCACGCGGGCCCGAAAAGAAAAAAGGAATGCGAAAATTAGTTGGTGGATGGATCGCTGCCAAACCAATATAAGTTCTTCCGCCATGATACCGCTATATTGTCAGAATATGGTAAAATGTAGCAGAAAACAAGCAAAACCGTTTTTAATAATATATATTGTACCACTTTTCCACAACAAATGCTTTTTCCTAGTGCAAAAAATTATCAACATTTTTGCAAGCACCTGTTAAGATGGAACATTTCGCCGGTAACATTTGCTTAACAAATTCAGCATGTCGCAATACCGAATCCGTCATGCAAACCACCGCTATGAGAAAGGGAAAGAGAGAGTAAAAAAAACTGAAACTGAAATTTGTACAACAAGTACGCATGAGCGTACGCACTATGAATATGCATGTACGATAGTGTAATGCATTGAAAAGTTTTGGGCGTGAGTGCATACGCTCTACGATAGAAATATTTGTGTGCGATTGTACGCACCTTTGCTTAACCAATTGGGTTTTTCTGTGCTTGGACGTTTACTTTTGGTAACTTCATTTGAACATTTTTCTCAGATTTCCTTTTTTTAGAAACTCATTTTTTATTGCGGGTTTTCTATATACATGTCTACATATTGCCTCTGGTCATCATTATCCTACTTTATTTATAATACCTACTTTATACAAAATTTATGGTAGATAAATATATTAAATAAAATCGTAAGACTATTTCTAAGTTAATTAATGCTTAATTAAAAAAACATAGTTATACCAGTAATCCTTAATGTCACATCCAATCTTTTTCAGAATAGCCCATCCGCAAAGAACTCATCACTATAATAAAAGCCGCAGTAGCGATATTGTAGTCAATTGACAAAGGACAGTCTTAACCCCAACTCGTCTAAGTCAGGCATAGATCAGGGAATAAATATACGATTATAATAATTTTGATTTCGATGAAAGTGTATAATATCTCATTTATGGGAAGATTCCCTATGAATCTTTCCCAAATGTGATCAATTTGGAGTTGTAGAATATTTCCTAAACTGTTCGGCTTCAGAACGACAAGTCAATTTGCTTCTTTAGAGATCGGCATGAAGCAATCCCTATCTATGGTATTATGCGGGTGGAACGCCTTTTATTATACTAGCGGATTGATACGCTTCTTGAATTGCTTTTAGACAATTGACTTTATTCAATTCTTACCTGACTATTTATACACAAATTATTACACTAAATTATGCTAACATCATCGAAATAATAATAGTTTTAAATGGAGCGGTGAAGTGCGACACCATTTTTATTTTTGTTTTAGCAAATGAATTATGCTGAATTTGCATAATTCTGTCGCACTTCAAAGTGGATACATATAACGGTAGGCGATCACACTACACGATATTCAGGAAACTTTACGGACTCAGGCAAAGTGTCAGAAGTTAAGGCACTTCCGTCATAGTTCAGTTTTTGTAAAAAACGTGGCGGCCGCGTCCTAAGACTGTATGAACAAAGTGAAAGAACACCAACGCATGCGGTATTGTTAATGTAGTGAGGACTATTTGCAGCACACGCCGCACTCAAATTTGACAATTCGCCTTTTACTGGATATCGCGTTGCCTCACTCGTCATTATGTACACAAAAGAGACTTCGGTGCATTAGATTATCAGATGATAAAGTTCTTCCAAGTAATACATTCCCAACTCTCTACAATAATGAATAAATTGGCCTGTATAGATGTCACTACAGATGCCATGAATCTTATAACGCAAACATACAGGGACAAAGTTTTGTATAGCTTTAGCCGTGGACTCAGAGGAAGCCTTCTACGTTTACTAGGAAACCGCAAACCTGCCACAAACATTTCAGTTGTGTTTTAAGCTGAAGAACCAGGACTACAGGTCTCACCACGTATGCTCACATAATCCAATTAGAAACCAATCGCCCCGCCATTGAGAAGTCATAGACTGAATGTATAAACAGAGTATTGACCTTTTATTTTTACAGCGAATCCTGTGTCGGATATAACCATAACAGTGATGAGC